GATTGCTGAATGTTTACGCCTCACTTGGTCGGACGAGAGCGGTCTGGTCATAAATGGCTCTTACGGAACGATTCCGAACAAATGATGTGTGTTGACGCGATCCCGCACACATAATGTGATTCCAGACTGCTTGGGATATCCAGATCCTGAGCGATGTATCCTAACAAAGGGCTGCCGCCTGCTGCCCAAGCGCCTATGATAATTATGATAATGGAGATTCTCTATGCCCAACGATCTGTTCCAGAGCATACAGCGTATGACAGCAGGAGGCTGTACGGTTTCTCGCATTACCCCTTTCATGCTGAGAAGTTAGCCGCGCAATTGCAATACAGTCAATGCGGCGATATAGAAGAAAGCGGTCGAAGAAACCCAGGCCCGACCCTCTGACGAAATCTTAAACAATTGTGGCATGGCCTTGTCGGTCCCCCCCCCCTCCCTGCGCAAGCGGAGGAAGTAGAAATGGGGCCAGGTTCGCAAGAGTTGTCGATGGAACGATGGGCCGCATCGATGAGCATAGATCCCTTCACTACAGGCGCAAATACAGTCGGCAGGGGCGGCACTAAAACGCAAGAGCTGTGTACTTGTGCGCGCGCCACTACAGAGAACACAAACACACACAAGCGACATGTGGTATGCGCAGATCCCTCAGATCCGATTCATGTTTCCCACAAACTTACACATTCCAAGTTCGTCACTGCCGACGCTCCCTGTGCAGCATCACGCGCAGACACCGAGCATGCTGTCATTTCATGTAGTAGCATGCGCATGCGCAACATCGCAGGACACAAACTATGACATATATCCGCCACCGTGCCTCTGGGCACGAAGTGGGCGTATCCTCAGGTTCTTTGCCAAATCGCCTAAGCCTGAGAGCTTCAATCCTCAGCCCTGAAAGTCGAAGAGGGACCGGAGCCAAAATTGCCGAGTTTGACTGGGCTTGCCGCGGTTTCCGTGGGGTTCCCGGCGTGGCGCGTGACATGTTCGGGCCCAGGAGGGCCCCAAGACGAGCCAAGAAGACTCCGAGGCCGCCAAGACAGTCCAAGAGGGCCCCGAGATGCCCAATGATCGCTCCAAGACGCTCAAGATGGGCCCCAGACGGCTCAAAGAGGCCGCCAAGACGCCCCAAGAGGCTTCGAATATGCCTCCCAAGAGGCTCCTTGGGTTTGGGAGGATTTGGGCGTTCTCGCCTTTTCGACTTTCCAACGCTCCTAGACGGCCCAACGAGCCCCCAAGATCACCCCAAGACGGCCCAAGAAGTCTCCGAGAAGGCCCCAACACGGCCTAAGGGCTACCCAAGAAGACCCAACGGGCCCCCAAGACGGCCCAAGAGGGCCCCAGAGAGGGAACACGAACCGAAAATCCAAGCCTTCCGCCCAAAGAGGCCCCGAGGAGGCCCCAAGAGGCGCTACGGAGGCCCCACGAGGCCCCCAAGATGCCCCCAAGATACCCCAAGAGGCCCACAAGAGATTCCAAAAGACCCCCAAAAGGCCCCAAACAGGCCTCAAAACTGCCTTCAAGAGGCCCCCGAGAGGCCATCCAATAGGCAAGATACCCACAACCTAGGTACGGTGGCGGGGTGGACCGAAGGCCACAGTGTGTGTGTGTATTTATATATATGTATATATATATATATCTATATATATATATATAGAGACGTCGGCGTAGACCTTAACTGTGTGTTGGTGTTCTCTCGATGTGCGCTCTGCGTGGTGCGATCTATGGAATGTGATGAGAAAGAGGAAAGCTGAGGGGACGAGCGGCAACCAAGCGACGAGCCGCCACTCGAGCGTAAACGCATGCAACGAACTGGCAGAAGACTAGGCGCGCCAGGGTCAACTATGGAAGAGTCCACGACCCGAGAATCCGGACCATGACGGGCCGTCGGAACGCGAAGTGCAGTGACAACAGAACCCAATGCTCTCTGTCAGGAGCCACTGGCTGAAGTGAGAAAAACCACGGGGAGGACGGGCGGACAGGGAAGAGACGGAGAAAGCAGAAGCAGAGAAGAGACGATGGGGGGAGAGACCCAAGACCCTCACAAGGGTGAGGACTACGCAACATGCTGCCAGATCGTGGCACTAGAGCGTCGTCCCAGCAGTGTGGAGCTGTCAAACCAAAATTCCCTGGAAAACACTCGGGAAAGAAGTGTTTTTCGACCCTGGAGCCTGTCTCGGGGATAAGCTTGAAACCCTACTGATGCGCCTCGGAGGCTCCCTGAGCCCGCATCGGAGCAGTGATAGGCGTGTTCGGGCAGTCTGGGGGCGCTGAGAGCGTCGTTCAGGGTCCTTGAGGCGTGTCCGAGCTCATGTGGAGGTAGCTGCACCCCAGGACAACAAACATAGAACGGCCTTCGGCCACACGTAATGACGAGAACTGCCGCGAGGCAGGCAGACGGCGACCCGACAGCTGCCGAAGCGCAGAACGTGGTGTCGCAGAACGGGCTGCGAGACTCCGCCAGGTGCGACTCTGCGCCACGCAGTCGCTTGCGCGCGTGGGCGCCTCGGCGCCTGGGCACCTTGGGTACCGGAAGGCGTGCATCGTCGGGTTGGACGCCGCCAGACAGCATTGGAACGCGGGTCGACGCTCGCGCGCGTGACCCTGGAGGCCCGGGCCCAGAGCGTAGACCGAGTGCGCACCGCTCTGGCAGCGCGCCCTGCCTGCGCCTGGATGCCCCGGATTGCCCTCTCGAGTTGCGCGTCTTCCTGCGGGCGCGACTCTCGGTGGGCGTGCAGCCTCCCAGGGCACGTCACGCTGGACCTCGCGATGTCCGCGTGTGCTGTGGTCTCGCGGCTGTGCCTCCAGCGGGTGCTCGCCGCTTGCATCAAGACCCTGCGGAACGGCTGGGCCACGAGCCGCCGGTTCGAGAGGTGCGCAAACTGCTTCTTTGGACGCGCGGCGGGCGAGGACTCCATCGGACTCTGCGCAGAATGCCCGCACGTATCTGCAGCAACATACCGCGAGCCGGGGCCTGAGCATCCAGACACGCCAGAGGCGCGACTGGCCAATTTCACGTTGATGGCCCCGCCGTGCTCCGAAGCGACCGCGCCAGAGCTCCGCCGCCGAGGGTTGGATACGTACGTGCGGGGTGTGTTCGGCGCACTGCTGTTCCCGTCACGCAGCCTCCGACGGGGCGCTCGCGTGTCACAGCGCGCTCAGGCTCAAGCTCCAGGAGCTGGCTGGGGGGTCGCAGTCTTTCATTCCTCTCTCTCCCCCTCCCTTTCCTTCTCGGGATCCATCTGTGGCTCGCTGGGCGTGCAAGCAGCGGGCACTGCGGGTGCCGCCACCTCCCACCCCTCTTCCCCTTTTCCTCCCGCGCTCGTCTCCCGGAAGCGGAGCTCCGGCTAGCCCTGCGGGTCGGGCCGGATCTTCCCCCCCTCTGTCCGTCTCCTCCTCGCTCCCCCTCGGGCCACTTGAAGGCGCTCTTTGCCTATCTTGGCACTCTCTGGAGCCGTTCCCGAACCCTGGAGGAGGCCTCTTGAGCTGTCTTCGGACGACCTTGCAGGCATCTGGCGCCGTCTTCGAGCCATCTGAAGGCATCTTGGACTCCTCTACCTCCATCGTCTTCGTCGTCGCTGCCCACGGGGTCGGCGGCATCGGCCGTAAGGCCTTCGCAAGAAGCATGGCGGCAGGGGGCGGACCCACCGGCGATCGAAAGGTCGACGCTGCCGGCCAAGACGGCATGCGGTCGGGTCCCGCCGCTCGGCAAGGTGCGGCCGCCCTGCGTCCTTCCCTCCCCCTCCTCCTCTGCCTACTTCCTCCCTCCTCCTCGTTGCCACTTCCTACTTCCTCTACCTACTTCCTCCACTGCCTACTTCCTCCTCTACGTACTTCCTCTACCTACTTCCTCCTCCTACTCCCTCCTCCCTCTACCTACTTCCTCCTCTACCTACTTCCTCCCTACTTCCTCCCTACTTCCTCCCTACTTCCTCACTCCTCGTCAAAATCGCGGTGCCACGTTGCAACCAAGCCGGCAGGGCGCTTGGCTGTCCGCTGTCTGTCTCAAAATCACCGGTTGAGCTTTAGCTGGAGTTTCCTTGGAGGCATGGTGTCACGAGGGTCAGCGAAGGCGTGGTGACGAAAGCGCCAACGACAGTGAGAGTGGCTTCGGAGGAACAGCAGGTAGCAACATAGTCGAATGTAGGAGGAGGAGGCGTAATCTGAAAACGAGGAAACGAACAAGAGCAAGCCATTCGGGATTACGAAGAGAGGCAAGAACATAAGTTTGAGCCGGAAACGATTACCGAAAGGATGCGAGAGACAGCTCGTTCACCAAAAGGGGGTCGAGGAGAGGAGGCAGACGAAGGAGAGGAAAAGGAAGCGAACGCGAATGAGGACGAAGAAAAAAACGATAACCAACATTAGGACGGCGACGGCAAGAAGCAGCACCGTGAGCAGCAACAGCAGCATTAGCATCGCAACCAGGAACACGAGAAAGAAGGTACAATTCGTGGCTACAATCAAAAAGCAACAGCATGAACATAAACTGTCGACGGTCCGTGCGGATTTCTTGGATCTGCGCTGGACTCCCCTCCCTGGCGCGCGGAGCGCGCCAGGGGCGGCGCAGGAGGCGCCACCAGGGGGCCCAGCGCGGATCCAAGAAATCCGCGCGGAGCGCCACAAGTTTATGCTTATGGTGTGTGCGTCTCCTTCTCCTGGTGGCTCGAGTTGGAGAAAAGCAGGCCAGGAACAGTGACCCGCATCCGCCCGCACCCATATCAGTTCTGCTGTCCTAGAACAGGGCGCTTCCAGCGGCTCGGGCCACGCGGGGCCCACACCTCGCGACAACTGACCGGGACCGGATGTTCAGCCTGAGAATCGTTGCTTGAGGGTGCGGGGAACAGAACACGGCCTCTGGAGGCAGACAGATACGGAAACATAACTCCGATCGAGTCTCGAAGCGACGGAGAAAAGGAAGCGTCCCCTTCCCCAGTTGAAACGGCGCACTGCCGAACAGGTCTAAGGACGCAGAGATGCCATTGGGAAGCTTACCCGTCCGCCCTATGCATTTTCACTGCAGATCACCCGGCGCCGTCACAATCTTTGCGACGCTAGGATCGGAGGGATCCTGGACATTCGAACCTCCTCGGTGGCCCGCCTCCCTGCTTGGGCCACCACCATCGCGAGGAGCAGGGGAGGGCCCTCCTGGTGGCGTGGTCCCCCTGCCCTGCGGCGTCCCGCTCGAGACGTCCCCCATCCTCCAGCTCGGGGACCTCCTCGCCGGAGGTGACCCCCTGGTGGTGGTCCTCTCTCCGACTGCTCCGCGGGCCCAACCGACTGCGACCACTTCCGGGGCCAGCAGTTTCGCCCCCCGGCCACCTTCTGGTGGCCCTTTGGACCCGAAGGCGGCCCCCCGAAGCCGAAGCCGATGGCAAATGCGGGGAATCCGCACATCAATCCGTCGGGGGTCTGGGCGCAGAGGAGGACGGCGTCGGAGGGGCTGGAGAGGGGCAGACGAGGAGGGGGAGGGAGGAGGAGAAGGGAGAAGAGAGTCGGCGGCGAGCGAGGGGGGAAGAGAAAAGGGGCGGGCCTTCTCAGAAGGCTCATCAGTCGCCCAACCTTCTGAGAAGTGTTCTAAGCCTTCCCCGAAGACACAGAAAACTTCTCAGAAGGCGCGAGGGCGTCCTGCCGCCTTCTCAGAAGGCCTTCTCCTTCTCACTTCCCCCCTCGCTCGCCGCCGAGAGAGGGTGGAGGAGGAACAGGGGAAGAAGTGCGGAGGAGGGACAGAGGAGGGGAGACAAGATAGGTGCGCTCGCATCATATCTAACGTCCTAACCCTCCCCCCCATCCCTGACCAGTACGTAGAGCCCCTCACTATTCGCATAGTCGGGCGCCGAAAAAAACATTGATCCAGCAAGCGTAGGCGCACCACAGCCTAGCATTGCATGTAATGGCGTAGGGGAGCACGGCAGAGCGAAGCATGGCATAAAAAAGCGTGGCATTGCGTAGCCAAGAATTGCAAAGCATAGCATTACAAAGCAAGGCATGGTATCGCATCGCGGTGCAGACAATAGCACTACGCTGCATGTTATGACATGGCGATGCACCATATAGCACGGTACGGCATTGCGTAGCCAAACATTGCACACCACAGCATTGTAGAGCAAAGCTGTGTGTGGCATCGCAGAGCGGCATCGCGTAGCGGACACGACGCCGACAACGCAGCGGGACCACCTTCGAGAAGGACAAACACGCAGAAATGAGGCCAGCGCCACAGCGCGAACACTTCGTTGAACGACCGAAAGCGCGGAATGAGGCCGACGCTAGGGCGGGAGCACCATTGAGACGGACCGAAATCGCGGAAATAAGTCCAATGCTGCAAGCAGGAACACAATTTTGAAGGACCTCGAACTCGGAAATGGAGCCGATGCTGCAGCGGGAGAACAAGTTTGGCAATACCGAAGACGAACGGACTGGACAGACACATAAGAAATATTGCCGTTTGGGGCGGATGGGGCGATACTCTCAACACGTCCTTGGAGGACAGCAGTATGTATGGTTTGCGACTGCGGAGGGAGAGGGGGGAGACAAGCCAGGTGCGCTCGCGACATACCTGACATCCTGACTCTCCCATCCACCCTTCTCAATTGCGCTGTTCTTTCTGTATCCGCGGAAAGGTGCCATAGCAGACCAAGAACTCCCAAAAGGACCCCATTGTGTTAAGAGTATTCAGAAAAGGGGAGCTGTGGATAGTGGAGAAAGAGGAGGAGGAAGAAGAGGAGGAGGAGGAGGAGGATGAGCACAAGGATGAACAGGAGAAAGCTACGTAAGGAGGATGAGGAAGGAGATGGACAAGAAGGAACAGCAGCGGCAGGAGCCGGAGTAGGAGGAGCGGGAGGAGCAGGAGGACCAGGCGGAGGTGGAGGTGGGGGAAAGGAGCGGGGCAACAATGACGAGGACGGACTCGGATCCACAAGTGTGGCCCGCGCTGAAGCGAGCGCGCCATTCTGAACGACGGGAGCAAAGCTTCGATCCTAAAAGGAGGCCAACGCTGCAGCGGGAGCGCTGTTTTGAGGCACAAGCGACGTTTCGATTGAAAAATGCCATGCGACAACAGATACAAGGCCTGTGTCTGAAGAACCCTACACAGAGAGGGCGGAGCACTGCCAGGAAGTGGTCAGGAGAGACGGGAGATGACTCATGCTGTGCCATTGCGGAGGGAGAGGAGACGTGGAGGAGGGAGAAGGAGCAGGGAGCGGAGGGCGGGGGAGAGGAAGGAGGAGAGGAGGGCCGCGAAAATGAGGAGGCAGCTACTGGGAGGCTCTCGTCGGAAGCATGAAACAGGATTCAGCCGGATTCAGCGGGATCCAGCGGGATGAAACCGGGATGAAGCCGGATTGGACCGGATTTCGCCGGACTTCGGACCAGGGCGAAATCAGCATCATGACCTCCCGGGAGCTGCGCATCCGAACGAGGAGCTGCTCCGCGCCCGCTCCTCGTGCTTGCCGCGGGCCGCGAGCAGGGCCGCGGAGAAGCCGTAGGCGTCGCCCAGCGCCGGGGAGCCTCTCGCGGGATCGGAGGCCCGCGCGCGGAAGGGCGTAAGGATACCCGGGGGGGGGGATTATGAGGTTCCGGCCTGCTTCGGCCTCGATCAACAGAGAGAATCTCGAGCACCAGGAGAAAAAAGTGCGGAACCTCGAGGGATTTTTCACGTGTCGGGCCCCATGGGAGACACTCGTCCGACACTCTTTCGACCCTCTTTCGACACTTTTCCGGGTGCTCGAAATCATTTCTGGGACGTGGTCCTTCAATGCGATGGGAGCAACACCAAAGGGGGGGGGGGGGGCAGCTCAGAGGGGATAAACATCGACCTGGAATCGGCGACAGATCGCCGATAGATCGGCGATGGGCCCTCGACGGCGACACCGCGCGCGCCTCGGCGGGGCGGGCCATCAGGCCCCCATCGGCGATGAATGGGCAACTGGGGGTCGATGCATCCCGCCCTGGGACTATCCCCCCCGACCGTTGCCCCTGCTGTGCCCTAACACCTAGGCGCCACCCAAAAAAAAAACGTGTGATGGACGGTTTCTCTGCTCGCTCGGCCTCTGGAGGCCGTCTCCCCGACCGTCCTGGGACCGTCGAAGCACGACTGGAGGTGGAAGGCCAGCCCAGGGGAAGGGGTTGAGATCCACGGGGGCACATCGCGAACAGAATGTGACCCAGGCCAGAGGCGGGCGTCCGGATGACAGACATCTGGACGGAAAGGGTGGGAACGATGGCCAACAGCGTCCTACGTATGTTTCGGCGGCGAGCGAAAGGAGGGAAATGAGAAGGAGGAGGCCTTCTCAGAAGGCGGCGGGGCTTCTCAGAAGCCCTCGCGCCTTCTGAGAACTTGTCTGTGTCTTCGGGGAAGGCTTAGAACAATTGTTGGAAATCCGGAGGACTTCCGTGCCTTCTGAGAAGACCCGCCCCTTCTCACCTATGCCCCGGGCTCGCCGCCGAATGATGCCTAGGATTCGCTGTCGGTGTCGCCGCAGGCGCTGTCAGCCCGGGGCGAGCGTCGCCTGCCCGCAACGGCGCCCGCTGTCGGCTTCGAACAACATCTGCTGCTGGGCAGCTTCCCCCCCCCCGGGCGTGCGAGGTGTGTGGCGCGCGCAGGCGCGCGCCACTGCGCCCAGCGCCTCGCCCGCTGGGGGATCCCCCCTTCCAGGGTCGAGGTTTCGGGGTTCCCAGGGGGGTGGAGCGTCAAACTGTCTGGACGTTTCTCGCCTCTCGGGGGCTTCTGGGGGGCCTCTCGTCGCCAGGACTGGAGCCGCCTCGAAATTCTGGCCGGAAAGGACCCCAAGATTCAAGTCGGGCCTGTCCCCCCTACAGGGGGATCTTGTACGAAAAATTCAAAAACACCCAAACAATATTCAAAAATAGGCAGAGAATGCTCAAAGCATCGTCCCCTGACTATGTTTTGACTATTTTTGAAGATTCCTCCTGTAGAGGGGCGGGCCCGACTTAACCCAACATGGGTCCGGGGATCGAGTTCTGACCCGCGGACCCAGGCCTGCTCGCGCCGTGAAGAAAAAAAAAAAAAGAGCGAAAGGTTCTGACGTTTTTCACCTCGCGAGGGGCCCCGCCCTGGGCCACCAGATTCAAGTCGGGCTTGTCCCTCTACAGTGGGAATATTCGAAAAATAGTCGAAACATAGTCTGGGGACTTGTTTTTGAATTTGTTTCACCATTTTGGAATATGTTTTTGATATCTTTTATTTTTCGTCGGGAATCCCCCTGTAGGGGGACACGCCCGACTTATCACCAGATGCACTTAAAGGCTCCAAGATCTTAAGCGCACTTACGAGCTACCTATAGCTGGGTGTAAGTTACTTCTGTTCTGTGTTAAGTAACAGCATTTGTTGAGTATGTTCCCTAACTAAGGGCATATGTTTTTAAGTGCTTCTCTTGCGAAAAAAACTTACTTGCGCTACTTCTAACTATTTTCCATCCATCGCCGAGCGGGGTAAGTTACATATATGTACTTGTAAGTTACTTAACACATTTTAGGCACCATCACTTACTATTACTTATAAGTTACTTATAAGTAACTTGTAAGTTACCTCCTTCCCTCCCTCCCTCCCCCTCCCTCCCTCCCTCCTCCGCGCCGCGCCGCGCGCCCGCGGGCGCCGCGCGCGCGCAAAAGGAGTGAATTGGGGGAGGTAGCGATGGCGATCGCTTGCATGGGGAAGGAGGAGGAAGAGTTGGGGAGGTAGCGATGGCGATCGCTTGGAGGAGGAGGAGGAGGAGAAGGAGGAGGAGGAGGAGGAGGACGAGGAGGAGGAAGAGGAGTGGGGGAGGCAGCGATGGCGATCGCTTGGGTAACGATGGACGCGGTGACGCGCATGATGACGATAACGACGATGACGATGACGACTACTACGACGACGATGACTACGATACTGGCCATACTGACGACACTGACAACACTGACGATGATGATGATGACGACGATTGCCGACGATCCTGACGATGATGACGACGACTACGGCAATGATGATGACGTCGCTGATGATGACGATGACGACGTTGATGATGATGATGGCGACGACGATGGTGATGATGACAGGCGATGACGATGATGGCGATGATGATGACGATCATGATGATGATGATGACGGCGATGATGACGGCGATGATGATGATGGCGACGAGGCTGCCTCAGACGACGGTGACGACGACGATGGCAGGAACTCGCCCAGGACTCCAGAACAAGGACTTCCTTGTGTTGGAGTTGAGGCTATCCACCCTATGGGTGAGAGGACGGCGCCCTCGTCGTCGTCGAGGTTGGTTTGAGGAGGTTTGGGGTTCTTGAGGTTTTGGGTTTAGGTTTTGGATTCTGGTGGTTTTGGGTACGTCGAAGTTGTTTTGGTGAGGTTTTGGTTTCTGGATGTTTTAGGTTTACGTATTGGGTTCTCTCTCCCCCGTCCCCCATCATCTCTCCAGTCCCCCATCATCTCTCCCGTCCCCCATCAACTCTCCCGTCCCTCATCGCCTCTCCCGTCCCCCATCGTCTCTCCCGTCCCCCCCTCGGGTGATACAGGAGGTTGGGGCCTCTCGGAGGCGCTTTCGGCCCGCTGGACGGGCGTTCTTGGGAGCGATGGAGATCGCTGGGGCGAGCGGGGCGTGGCTTGGGAGGTAGCGATGGCGATCGCTTGGGCGAAGGGGCGAGGGTGGGTGGGGGCGGGGGTGCACGGGGAGGTAGCGATGGAGATCGCTTGGGCGAGGAGGGCGTGGACTGGGAGGTAGCGATGGCGATCGCTTGGGCGAAGGGGCGAGGGGGGGGAGGTAGCGATGGAGATCGCTCGGGCGAGGGGGGCGTGGATTGGGGGGTAGCGGTGGAGATCGCTTGGGCGAGGGGGGCGTGGATTGGGAGGTAGCGATGGAGATCGCTTGGGCGATGGGGCGAGGGGGCGGAGGTGATGGGGGGTGGTGGTGGGTTGGTGTGGGGTGGGGGTGGGGGTGGTGGTGGTGGTGGTGGTGGTGGTGGTGGTGGTGGTGGTGGTGGTGGTGGTGGTGGTGGTGGTGGTGGTGGTGGTGCGGGGGTGGGGGTGGGTGGGGGCGCTGGGAAATAGCGGTGGCGACCGCTTGGGCGAGGGGGAGTGCATGGGGAGGTAGTAGCGATGGCGATCGCTCGGGAGTGGGTAAGGAGGATGGTATAGAGGAGGGGGTGATGAGGCGGAGGATGAAGCTTATTCGACCAGAGAGCGGATGGAAGTGGTGGATTGAGTGAAGAGCATCAGGGAGGGGGAGGGTTGGGGAGGGGGGGGAGTCGGAGGCGGTGGAGGGCAAAGCGATCTCGATCGCTGTGCGGTCATTGCCGCTAGATCAGCCGTCCACTGGTTAGCCGCTGCTGGCCCTGGCGGGTGCGCGCGCCCCCGTTGCCGCCGCGCTAGCATCATGGCGGCCATCGCGCTGGTGGAGCAGCTGAAGGCCGCCGCGTCGTTCCTCTCTCAGCTTGAGAAGGGGAGCAATGCATATAAGGAGGTCGTGACGGCGCAGTGCGGCATGGCGATGCGCGTTATGGAGCCGTGGACCTTCGTCTCCGCCGAGGACTCGGCCGCGCTGAACTTGCAGATCGGCAAGATGCCATTCGGCAAGAAGAAGATGGCCATGCTGCTCGGCCGCATCACGGAGTTAGCCACAACGTCGGCGAATATGTTGGTTGCCAACGCTGCCGCGGGCGCAGAGCTGATGTCGGTGACCAGGACGCCCATGCAGGACTTCACGTCGATCACATCATACCTGACGGCGGCGCAGTGGGCGGACATACTGGATACGGACAGCGACTTCATGGGCCGAGTTGCGGTCATGATGCAGGCGTGCAAAAAACTCGGGTTGCGCACGTTGCATGAGCCGACGATCCAAATGGTGACGTGCACCGCCCTCGCGGTGGAGGGCTTCGAGCGGGCAATGCGCCAGCCCCCGTTGGCCTTGTTCGGCTATTTCAAGAGGGCGAAATCGTACACCAAGAAGCTCCTCCCGTGGAAGGAGTGCAAGCGCCTCGCCGAGGTGGAGCCGTCGTTCGTCGATAAGCTCCCCGCGGACACGGTTGCCATGCGGAGGGCGCACCGAGACGTCTATTCTCGCGTGTACGCCGAAAGTGGCGATGCCCCAGTCAAGTGCCCGCTGGACGTCACCCAGCTGCTCGTGTCGAGCGACGCTGTCCCGATGCGGGAGAACAAAGCCCGCCTGAAGAGCTCTCCTGAGCAATCGAGTGTCGACATGGCGCTGCAGCTCGCCGACAGGGCGATTGCGCTGAATCGCGGGCGCGAGGACAGCGGCGCGTTGCGCGACCGCGACGTTCCCTTCAGGCGATACACGCCCAACCATGCCGAGCCGCCGCCGCTCGCCGACGCGGCGCCCGCGCCCGCCGCGTCGGCCGATGCCAAGACGCCGTCGAAGCACAGCGTGGAGGAGGCAAGGGACAAGATCTACGCGCAGCTGGGGGGCAAGACGCCGAGCGTGTCCCACAAACCGCCGTCGCTGAGCGACAGCGAGTCGGATGACAACGGCAGCGAC